TTTACCATAGGCAGAGCATAGCAAAACCTTTGTGCGAAGCACAGGTAAACAAGTCATGTAAGCAATACATGGTTTACCATAGGCGAAGCATAGCAGAGCCTTTGTGTGAAGTGAAGCGAAGTACATGTAAACATACCATAAAACATATAATAAATGCTTATATTATAAGGCAAATAGGGTTACCTCCAGATAAAAAAATTGTAATATAAATACATACATATTGGGTCCCGAGAACATTCCCAGAACATCTCCAGCACTGCCCATCACTAGCTCATCATTAATTCTTCACTAGCCTGAATTTTTGCAAGTTTTTGACGCTGATAAAAATCTTGAATGTGATATTTACCTGCATGTTTTCTACAAGCACTATAAATAGAGAAAGTTAATTTTCCGCATTCTATACAGGGAACTTGGTTAGGAGATTTCCAATGAACTTTACACCCTTCTACTTGATAGCACCCCTCATTGCATATTTCTCCGGACCTAAGAATATATGGACATTTATAAAATCCCATACTAGTTTGTTCTTTTGAATAAATATGTAACTATAATTATCCGAATAAATTAATTTTTATTTTAAACTTTTTTGTAACCATATTTAATCTTTAGGAAAAAATGAGCGGAATACTTAGTACTATCACCGGTGCATTGGGACGATTGTTCGAAAATCTCTTACCAAGCTGGGGAGACCCGATGCCACCTGAGTTACCTAAACCTTCCGAGCCACCAGTACCAGAAGAGGATGAGGAGGGGGAAAGCAACTATGAGACTGCCGATGAAGGAGATATATCAGCTTCTAAATCTGGATCTGATAATGAGTTTAAATCTGAAGAAAATAAAATAATATTTCGAAGAATAGAAGATCTAGCTCCGAAAAGGTTAGTAGAAACTAGAAGAATTTCTGACCAAGGTTTATGTGTAAATCATCTTGCAATTATTCCAGAAACTTATCCTTATCGAGAAGATCCCCTAGCCACATTCGAGGACATCGAAGACCAAATTAGTGAGGTTTATAAGAGAGAATTATCTCGCCTAGGAGGAATTAAAATAAAAATAGTTCTTATTGCTCATATGTATCAGATTGCACAAGGGGGACATTTTGGGTATTGAATAGATCAAGACATAGCATTTCCAAGTGAAATCTTAGATATAATGTGTTAGGATCGAATAGACCAAACAGTTTCACGTCAGTATAATGAAATCTTAGATAAAATCGATGAAATGGAGCGAAATCAGCATTCGGGTTGGATATATGAGTATGGAAAAAAGATCTTTCTAGAAATAAGTGCATACCAACCACTTCAAGGTAGTTCTCATTTTGCTTTACCAAAAATATAGGCAAAGCCTCAGTTAGGAATAATCAATTCACAAAATACAGATGAAAGATGTTTTGAAGCCTTTATAAAAGCCTATTTAGCCAGTGAAGAAGCTCGTAGACAAGGTCGTAGGGCAAGAAATCTTCACGATGTCAATAGGTTACGGTGCTTTGATAATATACTGGACTTCTCCAGTTACATGAAACCCGATATAATAAAATAAAATATTTCAATACTTCCAGAAAGTTTATAGGTGCATCACATTATGGCTGTGTTAAAATCAAATGTGAGACCACAGAAGAAAAACTTGCAGAGGCTATGTATCGTACAGAAGGTTTAAGTATAGAAAAAGAAAATGTATTCAAAACAGCATCCGAATGCTGTATATGTAAGATGAAACTTCAAGCTGATATAAATAAAAACAAGGTTAGAGATCATAATCATTTCACTAGAAAATATCGTGGTCCAGCACACCATGGCTGTAATCTCCAACTCCGGATTAAGCCAGATGAAATTAAAATCCCATTGATATATCATGGTGAGAAGCATTATGACTTCCATCATGAAATACGGGAATTAGGGCTAGTTAGTGAAGACAAAATTGAAATAATTGCGGACAACCAGGAGAACTATAAGACGATAATAATTGGCCAGATAAAATTTATAGACTCCTGTCAATTTCAATTTCCGTCATTAGAAAAAGTAGCAAGTAATTTGTGTAGTCAAGAAAAAACTCCAGAGCAATTAGCAAAATGTTTTCCGATTATGGCACAAAGCATACCCCAACATTTGCTCCCATTACTCACACAAAAAAGGGAGTACCTATATGAATTGAATGATCCAGAGCGCTTCTCTAGGACAGAGCTTCCATCAAGAAAGGAATTTAACACAGTGTTAAGTGGGCTAAATTATTGCGACCAAGGGTGTAAAAAGTGTAAACACGAAATAAAAGGTAAAAAGTGTAATGGAAAATGTAAAGAAGAGGATTTTAAAGAAACTGATGATTGTGAACATGAAAAAATTTACTCCATTAGTCAAAAGCAATATGACCATGCACAGAAAGTATGGAAGGAAGCAGAGTGTAAAACATTCGGAACTATCATAATTTATACCTCAGAACCGATGTTTTAATATTAGCAGACTCAATCCAGTATTTTCGAATAACAATGAAGGAAGTATCCGGACTAGACCCTCTGAATTATATAACATTACCATTATTTGCATTTGACATGGCAAAAAAGATGACTAAGGTCAAGCTCGAATTATTTCATAAAGGGCAAGAGGATATGCATGAATTCGTCCAACGCTAGATGCGAGGTGGAAATTCTATGGCACCACGAAGCATAGCAAAAGCCAACTTTCTGGGAATGAAAGGCTATAATAAACAGAAAGCAAACAAATGGCTTATATATTTAGACGCCAACAATTTATATGGATGGGCTATGTCACAATATTTGCCAACAGGGGGATTTCGATGGTTTGACCTAAACAATTTGCCAGATATACAGTCTATTTCACCAACTGCTAAGCGAGGTAGTGCTTGAGAAGTAAAATTAAAATATCTGGATTACCTTCATCCAACACATACTGATTATCCACTTTGTCCAGAATGCCGAATAGTAAAGCGCACAGAGCTTGGTCCACACCAAAATAATGATTTAATTGACAAATTGAGTGGAGGTAAGTTTGCGGAGACAGAAAAATTGGTGGCAACATTGGAGACTAAGGATCGGTATATTATCCACTACTGAAATCTCCAGAAATGCCTCGAACTGAGAATGGAACTCGAACATGTTTATCGAGTATTAGAGTTTGACCAATCTCCATGGCTCGAACCATATATTACAGCCAATACGATACGCCGTCGTGATGCAAAAAATGCCTTTGAAAAAGATTTATGGAAATTAATGAACAATGCTGTATTCGGAAAAACTATGGAGAATGTCCGACGTTGCACACAATAGATTTAGTATGACCAATAGGAGAGGAACATCGATTACGCAAAATGTTGGCAGATCCGGCACTAGTTGGTCGTAAAATATTCCATGGAAGCAATCTTATAGCAGTACATCGAAGGCTGACAAATGTTGTACTCAATAAGCCAATCTATGTCAGGGCTTCGATTTTAAATCTTAGTAAATATTACATGTATGATTTCTGGTATAACCATATTAAGCACAAGTATGGGGATCACGCAAAATTATGTTATACTGATACAGACTCACTAATTATCGAAATTGAGACTAAGGACATCTATGCTGACATGATTGAAGATGCGGAGCTTTATGATTTTAGTGATTATCCTGAAGACTACCCATTACTTAAAAAACTTCCTCCAGATTAATGGGTATATCTTCCCAACGGTTCACGTGAGCTAAAAAATAAAAAAGTGATCGGGAAGTGGAAAGATGAGTTTGCAGGAACTTGAGTATTAAGATATGCTGGAAACCGATCAAAGTCTTATGCATTGGAAACTGAAGATGAGTATAAAAATATACAGAAGGCAAAGGGTCTTAAAAAATCTCTTGTTAAAAAAGAATTAACTATTGATATTTATGAGCATTGTATTTTAGAAGGTGTGGAAGATAAACCTCGAACTGCAAATTTCTTATGATGTGAAAGATTCATGCCATACATAATCCGTCAGACAAAAAGGAGTATCAACCCACTTGATTCCAAGAGATGGATATTAAATGACCGGGTTACGACATGGGCAATTGGGGATTGTCGAATTCCGTCATATCTAACTGTACTGGAGCAATATGAGAATAATATTCCTCAAGAAATATTAACGGGTTTGAGCTTATAGAAGAGGGATCGAATGTGCAGTCATTTATTTCATATATTATTATTATTTTTTTTAAATATATTTTATTTTTATTTTAAACTAACCAAGATATTCATAGCATAAACTTAGTATTAGCATACAATGACAAAAAATACCCCAGCGAGTAATATTACATGGAAAAGCATTGAGGAGGCGCAACTTAAGATAATAAGAGAGGCAATATGTATTTGCTACAAAAAAGATAGCAAGCTAGTTAGTGAATATGTCACATATGTAAAAAATTTGCGTCAAGAGAATAATCCTGATGAATATGTAAAATC